AGAGAGAGAGAGAGAGAGAGAGAAAGAGAGAGGGGTGAGGAGGAGGAGGAGAAAAAAGCTAGCAGCACAAAGATTACCGAGTTGGAAGCCGCAGAAAAGGAAGTAGGCTTAGCATTGGCTGAGCGTTTCAGGGGAGCATACATACGTCATTAGGCTTTGCGTATTTTGGCATGGGGGCTTCAAAATTCCTGTCTTGTCTGTTAGCCGGACCGAGAATAGCGTGAAAGTAAATCTTACAGGGAATTTGGGAAAATGTGTTTATCCTAGCAGAGATGCATCTACTCACCTTACTGAATTATTTCACTTTCTATTTATGTTGTTAGCTGTTTCCATGGGTGATTTTTTTATGTCGTCTTTCCGCTGAGCGAAAAAAAAATACAGTACAATATTATTATGCTTCAGAGTCCTTAGTGACAAATTTACAAGTGCACTATTATGATAAAACGTGGAATGAGTTTTGAATTTTTAAAAGAAATCGAACCTTATTTTTTAAATTTTAATATATTTTTGTTGTGTTAAGCATTCTTGCATGTACAGTTCACACTGAAAGCTCTTATTTAAAAATTCAAAAATGAGATATATTGAAAACTCTTTTTGGAGAATTTAAAGAGGAGCATGGGTCTCTCTCCCGAAAAGTTGCGTGTATTCGATAGCACTGACGACATAGCACGTATCCTATTTCCCTTTGTCTGTTTTTCTCTCAAGTATAAATTTTTATGATGTTCTGTGTCCTTTCTCCGGGCCAGTTTTAGGCAACAAACAGTCAGATTTCTGATCTATGATATAACCTATAACGATTGTTTATTACAAAAACTGGTTTGCTATCTGAGAGGAAAGGTTCGCCACTCTTTAAGAACCGATGCCTATGGTGTAATGTGGGTCTACGAGTTGCATACAGAAGACGAGGGTTCGATTTCTAAGTTAGGAAGTTTTCTTTTCAAATCATCTCTTTTTGTTTGCTGTGTATCTACCTCTGCCCGTGTTCGCAATCTCCCTGTACTTTCTTCGCATTCATGAATATTGCATTTCGGTCATAATGGCAAAAATGATATTGATGTAAACAATAGCTCGCCAATTTTTAAATCAGGTTTTTTCATTTCAGGTTATTGGGATTTAATTATATCGATATCTGGTGATAGTGTGAATTTTTTAGGGGATAGGAACAACTATTTGTGTTAGATCTGGCTTGCAGTTTCGTTGTTCTTCATGGGGAATACGTTATCAGTTTCAAGGATTGGCTAGAAAACTGTCCTGCTGCCAAAGTCGGCGGGAATAGACCCCCACAACTGTAGTTCCTCATCAGAACCAGGAACGCTATAAAACTTAAAGTCCGACTGCCGCCTTTTCTCTCTCGCGCTTTGTCTGCCTGTCTGTCCATCTCTTTCTGGGTCTGTCTGTGTGTGTGTGTGTGTGTGTGTGTGTG